AAATCATGTGTTTATTATTAGACTGGTGTCACATACTCCTCTTCTGTCTTCTGATGCGCTGCTGAGGTTTCTCAGTCCCACCGTTGCAAATCCTCCTGTCGCCTCCACATCAGCAGCACAACCCAGCAGTGATGCAGCAGCATCAAGCACTCCTCCTGTCACCTCCACATCAGCAGCACAACCTAGCAGTGATGCAGCAGCAGCATCAAGCACTCCTCCTTCTGTTGCTCCAATAGACACGGCTGACTGGCCATCTCCTCTAACTGATAAGGTACGAACAGTGTTGGTTCACAGTGGTCCACCCCTCCTGTTTTCAGAGGTCAAACTCATGCAAACTTCCCCAGTACTGAGCTGCTACCCCCAGATAGATCTGCAAACATGGAGACGTTGGAGTTATTCACACAAATAAAACTTTATTTGAGTCAAAGTATAATTTAACAATGAAAATGTTTTAAGAAACCTAACCCCAGAAGCTAAAATGCTACCTATAACAGAGTCAACAGGTTAAAAGGCACCATTAAATAAACACCACAAATCAATTAATCAACCAAATATAAGAGGGCCTTGCCTCCCTGTGCATAAAACCATTTACACACTGTTCACACCATAAAATTGACTAAACCCTATTTGGAAACAATACAATGAATAGGGAACATAAATACTAGGTAAACCTCTTTACATAAAAGCAAGGCAAAACGTTGCATAAGCAAAACACTACATAAGCAAAGCACTACCTAAGCAAAGCAAAGAAAAACAGAACAAAACAAACACAGCAAAGCATAAACAAAGCAGCAGTGGCTATCACCCCTTCTTCATTAATCATCTTTTAAACAGGAATTTGGTCTTCCAGCTGAACTGTGAGGCTCTGCCACAGTTCCATCGTCCCATGTTGACATCCATTTCACCCTCACAGGCCAGGTGCCTGTGGGGGAGCGCCCGCAAAAAGGGGCTCTCTCTCCCACGCAGATACCCATCTTACCCTCACAGGCCAGGTGCCTGTGGGGGAACACCCACAGAAAGTGGCTCTCTCTCCCACATCGACATCCATCTCACCCTCACAGGCCAGGCCTGTGGGGGAGCACTCCCAGTGGGGTGCTCTTCCCGGACTGCCTCTCCACAGTCAGTCTCCTGGAAGTCAGACAGTCAACTGGACAGAGCCTCTGGCTGCAGCCGTGAGAGACCTCTCTGTTCCTCTTTTTTCCTGGGTTTTTAAAAGATTCTGGTCAGTAGACCTTATCCTCTCATCCAACCAGATGCCACAGTTTGCAGTTAATACCTTATTTTTAATGTGCAAAGTGATATTCTTCTAAAATATTGCATATTTTTTTTACTGCCACCGCTCAAGTCTACTGCCCGTAACCGGCCTCCACCTCACTATGATCCAGCTCTTGGACTCCTCTTTCTCTTTTCTAGAAAACTAAAATTATCTTAATACCTAATAAAGATACCAGAAACACATCTGATTGCAATATCAAAATTCCATCATTGCTTTTAACAGAACAATCAGAATTACACACTGATTTGACACAAAACTATCAATGCTTTAAAATCAAAACATGGATCTTTATATTTTAAATACAATACTTGACTAAACATTGATTATCATTGATCGAACATTAATTATCAGTCAAATCTTTACTTTTAGGCTTGAAACCATCATTTTTACTTTCTTAATAAGCTGTGTGTCTCTTCTTTGTGTCACAAACACATACTTCTGCGGGTCCTCTTTTCAGGGATGTGTGTCTACTTCCTTTTTTCTGTGATTCTGCATTTTTCACTTTTTAGATGTAAAATCACTTTCAATAAAATAATTTCACATTTTTCTTACACATTCAATAATGATTATTTCAAACAGAACACACACACAAATCATCTTATGATTATCTTAACTGTTCTACTTCATGCATCTTGCCATAGCATTTTAATAATTTTCCTCTCTCTCCCAGCTCCTCTTGCTGTTTCTTGTAAATATTCTTGCTGTTCTTGTGTGAGTTCTGACTGAAAAGAGAAAATTTGTTAAACAGTCTACTGCAGCCATTTTTGTAAGGTTTCTGATACCAGTTCCTTGGAGACCAGTTCTGCTGTTATGGCCTGTGTTTCTTGTGCTTTTTGGTTCTCTCCGGGACCTGTTTTTACAGGCTTGCCGACACAGGTTCAGGTTGATTTACCTTTCTCGATGTGCCAAACATAGTATATTGAAAGCATGTCATTGGAAAAATTATATACCACAGGGTAAATGAGGAATAACTTTATATGGCGTGGGGGCAAATTTCAGAGGGCTCTGTCACAAAATCACCAAGCTCATAAGTGGAATTATGAGGCACTGGAATATTTGGAAAACTGACATCCTCCTCTTCCTCCCCCAGCAATCAATACGGGGTCTTTTTGTGGGTCTTGCACAGAGTCAAGATGTAGATGCCTTTACAGTTGTTTCCAGGTTCCCGCTTTGGTGGTTTCAGTAGCAACACTTGTGCACATAACTGTTGCCTGTGTGCATGATATAAAAACACATCTTCACTGTTATGTGCTGACCGCGCTACCTCCTCCACAACCCACAACAGTGTAAAAAACTGCAGATGCCACCACAGAATCATAAAATGTCCGAAGGAGTGCCCCGCGCACACCAAAGGACCTCAGTCTCCTCAACAAGTGGAGGCAGCTCTGGCCCTTCCTGTACAGGGCATCTGTGTTGTTGCTCCAATCTAGCTTATTGTTGAGGTGGACACCCAGGTATTTAAAGGTGTCCACAATCTCAATATCTGAGCCCTGCAAGCTCACCGGTTGATTTCCGCCGGGGGTCAATCACCATCTCTTTTGTCTTGCCGGTGTTCAGGACCAGGTGATTTTTCTCACACCACTCCACAAAGTCAGTAACAACCCCCCTGTATTCCCCCTCGATGACACTGGTGGGAGTTGTACTTGAAGTCCAACATGTAGAGGGTGAACAGAAAGGGGGAAAGCACTGTCCCCTGGGGTGCCCCTGTGCTGCAGGCTACCACATCCGACAGATAGTCCCGCAGCCATACGAGGCCTGGTTGTGAGGAATGCTTCTGGGGGACTCCAGGTGAGATAGGGCTCGATACAGCATGTAGATAATAGCGTTGTCTATCCCGATGCCAGGTTGATATGCAAACTGCAGCGGGTCCAATGCTGAGCTCACTTGGGCACAGAGGTGGCTGAGGACAATCCTCTCCATGGTCTTCAGACAATTGACCTGGAGAGGTGAGACGGGGGGCTGGCATGGTGGGGACTAAGGACTGGGTAGAGTCAAATCTGTTAAAAAACAGATTCAGTTCATTTGCCCAGGCCTTGTCCCCCATGACCCGGTGACCATCACCCCTTTTACCATGACCCGAGATGTGTTTTAGGCCTCTCCACACCTTACGCACATTATTATTTTCCATGCTCTGCTCCAGCTTCTTCCTGTAGCTAGCCTTGCACCTCCGGATCATGTACTTTAGTTCCCGCTGCACTCTGCTCAGCTCCTCCTTGTCTCCTGAGAGGAAAGCCCTCTTCTTCTCATTTAGCAGTACTTTTAACTTGGGGCTCACCCACGGCTTGTTGTTAGGAAAACATCGTACTCTCCTGGATGGTACAGTATTTTCTACACAAAAGTTTATGTAATCCGAAACACAGTGTGTGAGGCCGTCTATGTCCTCACCATGAGGACTACAGAGGATGTCCCAGTTTGTGGTGTTAAAACAGTCTCTCAGCTGCTCAATTGCCTCCTCTGTCCATACCTCTACTACCCTGACCTGTGGTGACACCTTTTTCACCACTGGAGTATACACAGGAAGCAGGTGGACAAGGTTGTGGTCAGAGCGACCTAGAGGGGGGAGGGGGGCGGAGGTGTATGTATTTCTGGCATTTGCATACAGTAGATCAAGGAAACACAAAAGAGGACAGAGCTGCTGGAACTCACTGCCAATCTGCGTGGTGCCGGAAGTAATGGAAGTAACAGGTTGTTCACTGTTACCACATTGCTGTACTTAAAGCATTTCTAGGAAAAAGAAGGCATCAAACTATAGCCTAAATATGCTGCAGGTGAAGTGAGTTATCAGTTGCAGAGGGCTTGTTATAGTTTGTCCCCCTCACCAGGGGGGTGAGGGAGAACTATGGTAGGACTCAAAACTGCTGACCCAGGTGCTAGTAAAAATGGTGGTTTAATGGTGGGGAACACACACACACAAAAAAAAACAGAAACAGTCAATGAATACAGTACAAGGACAATCTAATGGCAAGACTAAGGTGAGCAGGAGGATGAGGACGGACAGGTGAATAGACAGGCTAACCATGAGGACGGACGAACGAAAACGGAGATCCACAGCACAGGAACTGTCAGTGTGAATAACAAAAAATATGTCTAGCTAACCTCACGGAAAAAACATAAAGAGAGATCCACAGCGTGGACCTATAACACTAAACATATAACCAACGTACAAAATGCAATCCACAGCACAGGAACTGTCACCATGGAAAACATAATGACGTACAAATACATACCACGGAATATATGGCTGTTACAGGGTATGCACGTTACAGTAGTTAATGCTCTGGCGTCGACGGAGCGTTCGCCAGAGGTATAAATAAGATAGGAGGGTGATTACAGTGATGTGTCCCAGCTGTGCGCAACAACCCACAAGTCACTGATTACAACATGCGACACAGCTGAGGCGCTGATCCCGCAAAAAGAGCGAGCAGGAGAGAGAAAGGCAGAAGAGAGGCAGGTCGCGCCGAGCGGACCTGACAGGGCTTTCAATGACTTATGCTTTTTTCCTCCCCTGTTCCCCCATTGATACCAGGGGCTAGTGTAGTGGTTAGCAATAAACAAGGTTCCAGAGTTAATATGTAATAGAACAGTATGTAGTTCATATTTAGATATTATTTGTGTTAGGTGTGTAAGGATGTAAGGCTGAGCTAAGTGTGTGCTTGATCTGTTTCTGGCGTAGGCAAGAATATCTTGGGCTGTGTCCCCCTTGTTTAGCCTATGGGTCAACATCCTGAGTGACTTCCTCCTCAGGCCTTATGTGAACTGTTCGTGTGCTCTGTTCAGATTTAGAAAAAGGAAATGTGCGCTAGGTCAATGCGACTCAGAAGTTCATGTACTGGACAGTTTAGACAATGCTCGGAAGAAGATGTGTGTGGGTAGCTGGCATGGGACCGCGTCTTCATGGCTCCAGCCATGGAGGGCTGTGTGAGTATGAGCAGATAAAAAGCTGGGTTAGAGCAGAAGAAGAGGGAGAGAGGATGACAATGCTATTGGGACAGTAAACCG